GGATAAATATGTTGACGAAGTGGATATGCCAGGAACTAAAGTGGATTCAAAACAACTTATTACAGTACGCAACTTACGTATACGTGAAGATATCGCCAAGTACCTCCGTGGATCTTAATTCGGCCTATTATGACCCCAAAACCAGCTTAATAAACATGAACTCCGTAAACTTATGAGTTTAATACCACATGATACGAAACCTTTTAATTTCTTGAAATGGTTAAAAGTATTTGTACCAATTGTATATAACACTCATCCAAATGTAATCACTGGCCAGATATTGGCTTAGAATTTTGCACAAAAGTAAAGGAAGTCTTCGAGGAAATAGAATTTATGCAATCGTAAGTAATTGAAATGGTCACAGAAATGCATCCATATATTATCCAAACCTATTTTAGAGATGTAAGGCGTCAGCACGAAAGAAATATTAACAAACTAAGGGAATTGGTTAATCCTTTACAGGACTTAATTGTATTAAAGAAAACGTACAATTTAGGACAATTACTTTGGACAATTATTTGCAAGCAAGTCACGTGGTTTGTTAAATTAAACAGAAGAAGTAGTTTTTTATTTACCCTAAGCGAAGTGTGGCGCGCACTGACATGTTGTTAATATTCTGTCCCACGGACTTCTTACCTCTTGTTTATGCGCGAAAATTTGGATGAAGCTGTGCTTAATGTCCAAATTTTGGAAATCAATCACAAGGAATCTGTACCTTTTTATATTTACTGTATCTCGACTGTTGTCAGCCAAAACTGCACTTTTTTCACTACATCATTTCATTGCATGTAAAACAGTGTGCTTTCGTTTAGCACATCTTTCACAAACTCAATTAAAATAAACTAACACATTTCAAATATTTTTAGGATCGCTTAGACGAAACGGCTAAATGTATTCTCCGAAGGGTCCACTTAGACAATTTAAAAAGTTTAATCAATGACTTCGTTTATCCTATATATCAAGAGAAGAGCCAGTCGCCACTTACAGCCATTAAGTGTTACATCTCTTTACTAGTAGCTAGCCGGAACACTTTTAGCTGTTAGAGAGATCTGTAGCTTGCATAGAACCTTTGCACAATGAAGACGATCGCTTAGAGTTGGCCTTATTAGGACTACTTTTTTTTAAGTTTTTCCGCTTTTAATATTATTTGAAAGTTTGTTTAAGAACTCTCCCGTCCCTTGGCCCGACGTTGTAACGCCGCTCCTTAAATTTCGATATTCTAATCATCCGTTGGCTTCGAAGATCAACACTGAATATGAATTAGAAGTTATTAAGATAATGAAAATAAAGCTTGGCCTACTGATAGCGGAGCAGATGTTAATTTGAATTTTTTTGCGTTTCGCATCGTTGAAATGAATTCACCCGATATGTTGGATGATATATGTATTCAAGCTCGAGTTGCACCGGAGTTTGCTGTTAGCGCCAACTTTAATTGCTGTTATCAATTAGTTAAAAAGGGTTAATTAGATGTGGCGTATGAATTTTTCAAAAGCTTGAAGTTTAACAAAGAGTCCAAGTGTAATTGTGAAATGGTGGAATTGTTTGCGGTAAGTAGAGGATACCTTTATTTTCTTCGTAATGTAATTATAATATTATCGTATTTTTGTATAAGATAAGGAAAATTTATTTGAACAGAAAATATTCCTACAAGGGTTTTTGTTCATTTTGAGAAACCTGGCGTTTGGTTTTTGGAAACTCTGGGAGACTCTACGTTTGATTTATACAAATACTTGAACAAATGTAAACAAATTCAGACGCTTATTCTCACATTTTTCGAATAATTGAGAATTGTATACGCTTATTCTCGTACTTTACCAATTTTATGCGCTTACTCTCGTACTTTACCAATTTTTATACGCTTATTTTCACATTTTTGTGTACACGACACCCATTTTGAGTAATATTTACTTTTTTGTGTGCTTATGAGATTTGTTCGGACTTCTCGAGAGAAAAATTGCTAAGCATTTGCGTGAATACGATCTGAGAATGAGTGGTGGGAAAAACATAATACGTACGGCTAAATGAGAATAAGTGGGAGAAAAAAACAGAATTTGTTCCAGCTAACTTGTATTTTTCCAGAGCAATTTTATACCAAAAGGAAAATAGTTTTTCTACATTGTACACAATATTCGCCAAATACTTCCCACATATATTTTTTTTTATTTTCAGAATTTGCTTGAAAGGTCCATTTTCGTTCGTACTGATGATAAGTCTCTCGAAGAGCAACGTGAATTAATAAAATTTTTCAAACTAAACGCTAAACACGCAGACCGCACAGTCCCAGAACGTTACGAATTTGTACAAAATAGATTTATTTACTTTGCAAGTATGGTATAAAAACTAACGGTGTTAGTGAATTAATAATGAAATGCAACAATTATCAAAAGCCTTGAACATGTTTATCGTGACGGGTATTAAGCAATTATATTGTCGTACAAATTGTTTGGTGATGTCTTGCGCTTTGTCCTACAATGTTATGCAATTAACGGATGGTGAGAAGATTAATAAAGATGATTACATTGATTTGGCTTTAGTATTACTAAAGCAACAAATCGATTTAACAGAAAGTGCCTCCAGAAATACTTCAGCTCCGTTGCTTAACGATATCGATCCTTTAGCTTTTCCTTTAGCTTATGAACTATTGACTCAAGCCTCATTTCAAGAAAGAAATAATTTATTTGAATTAACGGAACTAATAAACTATTTACGCATTGCCAGAGATAATTAAGCTCACAATGCTAGGCACCCGCTTATGAAGTAGACTTGGTCCACCTGTATGATCTCGTAGAACTTGTCGCATACAAGTGCTTAAAATATAATATATAATCTTGTTTATATAAATGTATAAAAAATATGCATTCATCTCCCCTTGTACGTCTCCTCAATAGTTTTATACAATTTTTATAGGCGTGGCATTCGATTTTCCCCTATTTTGAAAAATTTTATGTTAATTCTTTCCATATGCATACAAGTGCTTGAAATATGATATATAATCTTGTTAATATAAATGTATAAAAAATATGCATTCATCTCCCCTTGTACGTCTCCTCAATAGTTTTATACAATTTTTATAGGCGTGGCATTCGATTTTCCCCTATTTTGAAAAATTTGATGTTAATTCTTACCATATATTCGTACAAGTGCTTGAAATATAATATATAATCTTGTAAATATAAATGTATAAAAAATATGCATTCATCTCCTCTTGTACGTCTCCTGAATAGTTTTATATATATATATAGGCCAATTACGGCTGCAAATTTATGTTTGAGTAGCAAAACTAATGCGACAAAATCTTTAGAGGAACAAGTCGGTCTACCAACAAAGCTCAAGAAACCTTTAACGCCTTACTTTCGCTTCATGGCCGAACATCGTGCTAAGTTACGTGCTGAAAATCCAAAATTTCCTCCCATCGAGTTAGTGCGTATGATATCAAAAAAGTAGGAAGCTTGCGATCCAAGTGTAAAAACACGACTTCAAGAATAATACAGCATTGATCGCAAAAATATATAGAAAATCGTAGAAAGTATGAATCAAATATTAGCGATAAACAACGTAAAGATATCAGGGAACTTAAACCAGAGATCAAAGAGACTAAAGAGAAACGTATAATGCGTAAACGTGTGAAAGAGTTAGGACGCTTCAGCGTTTATCAAGTTTTTATTGAAAGAAAAAATGAAGTCGCCGCGACTTCCGCAGCAACCCAGGCGCGATTGGTTTAAGCAGACGAAAACTAAATGGGCGCAACTGTCTCAAGACGAAAAAAACGTTCACCTACAAGAATCCCGTCGAGAAATTGAAATATATAGGCAAGTTTCGCCTACATATCAGTACGTGTATGTGTGCATACATGCTTATCAACACATTTTCTTTTTTTTTTTTGAAAAGAACTAACTTCGTGGGAAGAGAAAATGATACGGCAAGGCAATGTTGATGTTATAGATCCTCCCGAGCCTAAGCCAAGGTCACCGACTAATCTAAAGAAATAATCAATTTCTTTAAGTTTATTTAATTATCTACGATCATTAAGTAGAGAATTCAAATACGTTTTATTGTTTTTGTCTTCTTATAAAAAAATTTATTTCTGAATGATTGCTTGTTTATAAAGAATTGTATTAAGTATCGATAAATGGATATACTTAATTTTTTTTATTTTGTTAATTTTATTATACATATATTAAAAATGAAATCATATTTGAAATTCAAACAATCAAATTTTCTTACAGACTAATGAGAATTCTGAATATATAGAAAACAGGTCGCTATTATTATGCTTATTATTATTATTAATATAATAATTAAGGTTATCGAACAAAATGAAGAATATAGATTAAACTTCATTCCAAGTAAAAAGAAAATCATTTATTTTATTGAATAAATATTTCAAAGGCCTGGCAGGAACATAACTTTACTCCGGCCAGGAAATAGCATTGTAAACCAAATTCCATAGTGCTGAACTACGATTGTAAGCTCTTTGAACACAAATTTAACTGATTCCCCTTAAGTCCTTCATTCTAAGAGGCGGTACAAGATTTGAAAAAATAAGAAGAAGAACGCCATGCTTTCTATGTTTTAAGTCGCATAACTATTCCTCACGCTCTTTTATGTGACTAACAGCAAGATGAAAAAGCGTGGTTCTGCTAAATCTGGTGTTGAGGTATTTAAGTATTACCTGTTCCGAAACTTTTCTTTCAGATTTAATTCCAATATTATTTTGATTGTTGTACTAAATTATTTATTTCCTGCAACAACTCGTATATCTATTTACAATTAGCTTCAAAAATCTTAAAAACGTACGTACGACTTTTCGAGCATAGAACTATGCTATGACAATTTGTTCTTTTTTTTGTTTGTTCGCACATGCGGACGGAATTGTTTTTCTTAATAATGCTAATAAGACACTTTGGACACATTTTTTCAAAATGCATGGATGCAATTCCCTTAAGAATGCATGGTTTTTTGTTGAACTTTTGTTTCACTTTTTAAAAAGTGGAATGGAATTAAGAATGAAAACTATCTAAAAATTGATATATAAAAAACTTATGTACAGTATAAGTAACTCTGGGGAAGTAATTATGTAAACGATTTGATCCGCCTTTATACAAATTCCAATCAAATATAATATTGGCAGCATCCGAGAGACGCCAGGGATTTTGGCCATCATCAAAATACATCGGGCAATCGTCACGTTCACGTTCATATTCAATGGCATCAAAGGCAACAGCAGCGCCTTCTGTATGATTCCAAGCTGTAACATCTTGATTTAGTTTACAAAATGCTCCAACAGCTTGAAAAATTTGAAATTATATTCAAAAAAATAATTATTTAATTTATATTTAATTAAACTAACCTTGCGATACATAAGGTATTAAATACGATTTGAGATTTTCTTTCCAAAAACCAATACTTTTCATGCGATAATCGGGGTCGCCTTTAAAATAAAAATGAAGGTCATCATGAAAGTTTCATTTGAATCAACTTCTGTTTTAATTTCATGCACTCACTGTAAATGTCGTCTGGACGTCCTAAGTGATCAACGGACAGACAATAGTTTTCATCTACGGTCAGACATGCAAAAACACTGTTGTAGAACACGGCCCACCATTAGATACACTACACCACTTTGCTTAATACAGTTATTGATATAAAGACATCGCAAAATAAGGTGTTCTATGGGACGTGGTCGAAAAACTAGAGTTCGTCCTTGGACCAAAATGTGGCGAAATAGCAAATTTCATCAAAATATCTCAAAAATTGTGACCTCTAGATTGAACACAAGACACTAGGGGCAGACAGACAGGCAGATAAACAATCTTACATCGATTCGGAATCGCTTTCAGAATAGTTTTCTGAATCGATCGATATAATCAAAGGTGAATCTATCTCGAACGTTCTTACGTGTTGCATATGTCCGCACAAACCTATATACATATTCATCTTTGGGCAACGATTGGTGTAGGGTATAACAATATCAAAGATAGGAAAACGGCACCGCCGCGTTGACAAAAGTTTTAGTTGGTGCGGCAAATACATTCGAGTCTCTGATGCCTTCCGATAGCCTCCTCTAAATTTGTTAGCTCGATAATTCTTCCTTCCTCTATAGTCAGTGCCACTTCCTCGCTTGGCTGTTCTCCGGATTTTTTTAAGGACGAATTCTTGGCAATTATTTTTTTTTGTCTTGTATTGCTCTGGCAGCGCTAACTGGCAAAAGACTCGAACACCTTATCTATTTATAATCAAACTTGTCTGCACTTTATTACTCACAACTCGTTGGAATTTCTAATTGCATGCTGCATTCGCTCCAGTTTGGAAAGTAATTAGTTGTAATTTTTAATTTGTTTTTTTGTTAAAAATAATAATTTTTTTTTTTGTTAAAAATGCAACCCTTTGTCAGAGGAGTTAATAATTTCTCGCACATAAAGGTTTTTGATGTTTTGGAGAGTGTAGCCATCTCATTTTTGCAATTTCTATCTTCTCTGGTGTTCCTCAAAGTGGAAAGCACATTTTGGCGAAAAAAGTATAATATAATTTTGGCGACGGCAATATGTGAAGATCAATAAAATATGAAAAAGAAAGAAAATTAAATTGGCTAAATATCAAAATAGATCGACACCAATATCTGTTAACTTGTAGCAGGCGGAGTCTGTATGAATATGTAAGGAAATGGCTACTGTGCAAGTCGTTCGCAAGTATTTCGGAGATGATTTGATCGTATTTGAACTTTAAAAGTGCCTGGTCTGTTGAGCATTCTGTAACAAATGCGAGGTAGGGGTTCTATCGGCCTGCTTTGACCAGTAATATCGTAATAACGATTTGAAAAGATTTCTTTTTCTACTTAAAACGAAAGTTTTCGCAAATTTGTTTAAACTGGGTTTTTTGAAAATTAGTGGATTAATTTTGTTTCTCGTATAATTAAATGTCCAGAAATGATTTCAAACACGAACGTTACATCAAACACTAAAGACAGTAAAGCTTTTCGACGCCTGCTGGGGACATTGCTTGTGACAAACGAGCTTATAAAGACGTGAGCAATTAAAGAAAGATATAGTATAAAATTAAGACAATAATAATAATAAGAAAATGATTAAATTAGGTTTTATGTTATTACCATGACATATTAAATATTAATGTATGATAAAAATGTATTCTGATTGCGCTGATTGCGAAGAGACAAAATAAAGAGAATCAAAATGAAGAGACAAAATGAAGAGAAGATATCACGTGACAGCACACACTATATGTATAAAGTGCAAAATCGTTTGATTTCAAAGAAGAATTTTGTATTAATCATCGTTATGCATTTGTGCAGTGAACTTCGCCGTCTGTCCACATCCCATTAATACCATAATTACACATACATTCGGAGACACACCCTTCTTCTTTAATATCGCTATTTATTTTCTAAGAGATTCGCCTATGAATGGGAAATATCTGACAATTTGAAATCTGAATTTAGTTCTGTTACAATTTTTGTATTATATTTTCCCCCTTACCATTGTCGGCACCTCATGTATAAATGAGCGGCGTTGTCTCTCCACCGTTTCTCACATCCTTTTTGCGTAAGATTTTTGGTTACATTTTCATAACAAATTATGCTAACCTAACTGTTTTCGTTACAAAAAAAAAAAAGAAAATCCAAGAACATGTAGTAAAAAAAAAAATATATTCAGCTCACATTATCCTATAAAAGATATGAAAAGAAAAACCTCCAACAAATCTTAATAACTCTTATTGAGAAGCTTTGTGGTCAAGTGGTATTACGTGGTTCTATTGCGCATATAGGAGTTATTGAATGGAATAATTCAATGCGATCGTGCACATAATAAAAAAAGTTTATGTTTTCACTATATAGCTGAGGATTCAGGTAGTCTTTAGTCAATTCTTTTATATGGTACATCTTACATTCAACTGTTTCTCTTAACCTCTGAATGGGGAGTGAAAAAGTGCATTTTCGATATATAATGCTTTGGGAATTTGAACAAGGCAGTAGCAACAAGAAGGCAACTAACGTAGCAAGGAAGAAAACAACACATACCACGCCGACACTTTCGCCTCAATATTAAGCAATTAGCTAATCTCATCATTAGCGGGAAATTATAAGCTCTTGTAACTCTCACCTGAAAGGATTTGGCCAAAGAGCACGTCGCTCGAGGAATCAACAAATGCTTATTGCGAATTGAACGACTAAAAGAAAGAAGATTAAAAAGCCCCTTCAGCTCCTGCTATAGGATAACATTGTAAAGGTTCAGGAAAAGACTGACTTTAATAATATTAACAAAGTAACAACCTGGGAAACATGGAAAATAACCTGAGATATGGTCATGCCGTCTCAACGAGAATAATAGTCTTAATTTACTCAGATTTGAAGTATTCGTGGAACTACAAACATCCAGAGCATAAATTATAAGTGGCTTAATTAAAGCTTTGGTCGCTCTAATTTTGGTTTGAATGGGCACCCAACGAGAGATACAGTCCAAACGGTAGTCAATGCTAGTTTGATACCCTTCCAAATTACTGTCATTCCCCGCAAATAAACTCTACAAATCATCATTAAATCACAGGCCTTACGCAAAACTGGGTGAAACCTGTTAAAGAAATCATTCATATACATGGTTAAGAGCAAAGGGCCAATGATCGAGCCCTGAGCCACACCACTGCGTAAATTTAACGACTCAGACTTGCGAGCACTCACAAACACAAGTTGTAAAAGAACTAAGAGGTAGAACTCTTTCAGAACAACGGCGGACTTCAACAATTCAAAGTACCGCAACGAGTTTACAAATCAATAGTATATGCAACAGTCTTTCAAAAGCTTTAGTAAGATCCAGCGATAATAACACCATCGGATATGAAATCGGTCAAAAGAAGAAGTATAAAGTAATATCCTTGAAATTCCAACGCGGTAAAGTTAATGCAACGTCATAGGTTTACGCTCTTCATTCTCTCGTTTTCATCTCGCTATTAGTTGTACTCATCTTAAATGAATATTAAGTTTATAACATTTTGGTAATGCAAGAAATTATACATCGCTTCATCTCAAACTCAAACGCATTGGCGGTGGTGCAGGCTGCAGATTTTGGTTAATAGGGATCATGTAAATTAAAAACGCAAGCGAAGCCCTAAAACAATAGCAATTTATCACAGGCATAGCGTGAATTCTTTCCTGGAACATGTAAGACATTGCTTACATATGTATACGTCATTACACTTCGCAAGGTGTGTGCACTCGTACCTACAGTACAGTTGCGGTGAACTACATTGCTACGATCCGTATATGTTCGTGTTGTGTTCTTATGCTACAAACTGAATGACGAAATTACACACCCATCATAAGTTTATTAATACGTATGGGTGTGTGTGAATGCATCGATGGTATACTTATCCAGGCGTATGCAGCAACCTTTTTGAGCAACAACAACTTCCGGGACCATTCAGAAATCAACTAAAGTAATAACCCTTTGTCGTACACATCAGCCAAGATGCATGGACACTAATGATCAGTGCAAATTTGGAAACAACACAGGATCATGACAATATGCAGTGGCATCGAGTTGATGCTTGTCACCTATGTACGTATAAATGGTAAGCTAAATTTCAGAACTTAGCTTTGGATCTCCACTGTATCTTTTTTTAAAAGAAATTACTAAATAAATAAAATAACTAGTTAAGATGTCAAAAAATAAAGAGTAGAATTAAAAGTGCTTGGCTAAAAATGTGTGGCTAAGCAGCATACTCCACTGAAGCGGAGGACCGAAACGTGTCGGTCGTTTTCAATTGCTTAGCGATGGTTTAGCAAAATTCAGCGATCGTTGCGCAAATACCGTCTCCGAAGCCGACGATTTACCGAAAACAGAAGTATAAGTTATGTGGTTGCCCCTACCGCGGGCTCGGGTTGCGTATCTCTTTCAGGTTTACGAAGCACCGCGTTTTATTATAGCCGGTTTTTGCTTGCTGTCGATAAGTGTCAAAAAAAAAAGTATTATTATATAACTTTATATGCTAAAATTTTACATATAGAAACAAACTTAAAAAAAGTTAAAACAAAAATATGCCGAAATTGTTGCTAAATATGTACAAACACAACATATTATCCAATAGCGTAAGTAACCCATCAGATGTTGAGACTCAAGACGAAAAAAAGAAACTTGATTATCATAATATTAATTAATTAATTAATATCATACATTAACGTATGAATTTACCTGAAAAGAATATATAATGTATTAAAATGAATTGCAAATCAATATTAATTTTACATTATATAAGTAAAAGACAACTGTTTTTTTTCCTTATACGTAGGTTGGACTAGGTCTTTTAGCGATAAGAGCAATATTGCGTTTTATGATAGCGGCAGTATACCAAAACAAAAGGAAAAATTAATTAACATGAATATTTCCTTTTAAAAAAAATAAAGCTTTTTATTTTAGTTCAGATGTTTGTACATAGACGAGTCGACTTGTGTTCAGTGTAGTGCGTGTTTTCTATTCGTCTACGTTTTTTCAATTGTTTCGGTGTTTTCGGTGTTTTTGTGTATTTAACTTCTGTCTTTTCTGTGTTGTTGCTAAAACTGGTTAACGCGGATATCGCGTATGTGCTTTTGTTTCGCCTATATATAATAAAAAATAGAAATCAAAAAAAATAAATAAAAAAAAAAATAAATAAAAAAAAAAATTGAAAACATTTGACACTTTTCTTTAGTAGTTCCCAACCTTCTTGCACAGTTCCCAAACCTTTTCAAGTGAGTGGTTATTTCACAAATAATAAGCAATAGACAACAATAAGGCATAATGGCCCCGGGGCCGCCAGACAAAAACCCGAATAGATTTTATCTCTTAAGTGATACATCTCCCCAAAGAAAAAAAAGTAAAAAAGCAAATTTTCCGGTGTTGCCGATCAGCGATATAACCCCTATTGATAAAAAATATATTGTTATTTCTTCAACCGATGCTTGAATAACAATTTCCCAAATTAGTCCTTTTGCTATAAAAAAAGCTCTAGATAGCATTACAACATACATCGACTCCATCTAGATTCTACGCGATGGGAATTTACTGGTCCTCGCTGGGAACCCGCGCGCAACCAAAAAACTAATAAAGGCCAATTCTTTAGCTAATCTATGTGCTATTTCAGCTAAACTACATGAGAAACTTAACTCGGTTCGAGGCGTAATTTATGCCCCTTGCTTAAAGCATGTGCCGGAAGATGAAATTGTTCGCGAAATGGGCATTCAAGGAGTGACTGAAGCATATAAATTAACCAAACTGAATGATGACGGAAAAACACGCTCTCCTACAGGAAGGATTATTTTAACTTTTGATCGCTATCGATTACCGCGAGCAGTTGATGTGGCGTGGTATAAATGTAAAGTAGAACTATACATCCCAAATCCTATGAGGTGTAAAAATTGCCAACGCCTGGGTCATACGGCAAAAAGATGCACTAATGCTGCATCTTGTGCTAACTGTGGTCATCCTCCACATACTGAAAGCTGCACCCGTAGTTTCTGCATAAATTGCAATGATCAACATTCAGCGTTAGACAAACAATGCCCACGTTTTGTACAGATGCGCGAAATATTAAAAATCAAAACAGAAAATTACTGTAGCATGGGCGAAGCGCGACGCACATACCGGGAAAGAAATCCATCTGTAGCCCATGGAATTGGCAAAAGTAATACCTATGCTGCTGTTGCCTCGCAAATCGAGCCTAGTAAGACTTTAACTGTAACTGCTTCCAATG